AAAATATGTGAAGAATTTATAAAACTCAACACCCAAAAATCGAATAAGCCAATTAAAAAATGGGCAGAAGATACAAATAGACATTTTCCCAAAGAAGACATACAGATGGCCAGTAGACATATGAAAAGATGCTCAACATCACCAGTCATCAGGGAAATGGAAATCAAAACTACAATGAGATATCACCTCACACCTGTCGGAATGGCCAAAATCAACAATACAAGAAACAACAGCTGTTGGCAAGGATGTGAAGAAAGGGCAACCCTCGTGCACTGTTAGTGGGAATGCAGACTGAAGCAACCACTGTGGAAATGGAGGTTCCTCAAAAAGTTAAAAATTAAAGTGCTCTATGACCCAGCAATTGCACCACTAGTTATTTACCCAAAGAATACAAAAATATTAATACAAAGGGATACATACACCTCAGTGTTTATAGCAGCATTATCTACAATAACTAAATTATGGAAATAGCCCAAATGTCCATCAACTGATGAATAGATAAAGAAAATGTGGTATGTGGGGCACCTGGGTGGCTCAGTCATTAAGCGTCTGCCTTCAGCTCAGGTCATGATCCCAGGGTCCTGGGATCGAGCCCCGCATCGGGCTCCCCACTCCGCGGGAAGCCTGCTTCTCCCTCTCACACTCCCCCTGCTTGTATTTCTCGCTCTCGCTGTCTCTCTATCAAATAAATAAATAAAATCTTTAAAAAATAAAAAATAAAAAATAAAAAAAGAAAATGTGGTATGTATACACACACACACACACACAATATATATATATATACACACACACACACAATGGAATATTACTCAGCCATAAAAAAGAATGAAATCTTGTCATTTGCAACAACATGGATGGAGCTAGAGTTATTATGTTAAGCAAAATAAGTCAGAGAAAGACAAATACTATATGATTTCACTTGTGTGGAATTTAAGAAACAAAACAAGCAAAAAAAAAGAAAGAGAGAGAGAGAGACAAACCAAGATACAGACTCATAACTATAGAAAACAAGCTGATGGTTACCAGAAGGGAGGTGGGTGGGGGGATGGTTAATTAAATAGGTGATGGGGATTAATGAGGGCACACGTTGTGATGAGCACTGGATATTGTATGGAATTGTTGAATCACTATATTGTACACCTGAAACTAATATTACACTGTATGTTAACTAACTGAAATTTAAATAACTTAAAAAAATAGATTAATATAATGAACGAACACCATGGACCTATCATCCAGCTTCAAAATTATGAGCACATGGCCAGTATTATTTAATCTTACTTTCTCTCTCCTTCTTTCCCTCAATATGTTAAAACAAATCCCACATTATATTAAGAAGTATGTAAAGTTTTTGGCATATAGTTGGGTATATTTCTTATTAAGCTTATTCCTAGGCATTTTATCTAACTATTGATTGTTGCTTATATATATGAAGATTGATTTCTGTACATTAACTTTGTTCCTTTTCATTATTTTAAGAATGTTGGTCCCTGCTAATTTGAATTCAGTGATTTGAAAAAATAAGGTGAATCATCACCCCTCATAATTTACCAACTACATTTTACCTATATGTTTACCTGGACTATTAGAAATATGCTAAAATTATAGGTATAAACTAACTGTAGTAAGTTACTAGCCTTGTTCCAAACAATAGAACTGTGGCCTGAAACATGACCAACAGCAAACTCACCTGGGATTCCTATCCTGTAAGGTTCTCTATTAAGACATGAAAAACTGTCTTCCAGTTTCCTGCAACATTGTAATGTTGTATGAGCCAGTTGCTGGCCTCTGTTCTTCCTATAGACTTAAAATCACTCCCTAGTGGTAAAGTCTCCCCCTCAGAGAGGCACATTAACTCTTCTGAGCCAGTAGGGGACCATTTCAGTTTTTTTAGTTCTTATGAAGAGCATTGATTAGAGGATCAGGAATCACACTGTGGTATGAATACTTGTTTTTTTAAAGGTTTTATTTACTTACTTGAGAGAGAGAGCATGCACGAGTTGGGGAGGGGGGGCAGAGAGAGAGGGAGAAGCAGGCTCCCCACTGAGCAGGGAGCCCGATGCAGGGCTCAACCCCAGGACCCTGAATACTTATTTTTTAGATATTCCTAATGTAGTACCATCAATATCCTGCTCTTTAGAGCATTTTTTCTTTTCAAACTCTCAGGGAGTTTTAACAGTCCCTTTTGACAGTTGCTGGTATTAATTGATTAAGCTGTTCTGGAAGAGTGGAATCAGGAATTGGGGGTCTATACTCATTTTGGAAAACTAGTTGGCTTTAGTGTTTATGTTCCCCATAGCCTGTCTCTGAAATGGCATGTGGTTTTTCTGGGCTGAATTATTTTCTGAATCCAAATAGGTACCTTCTTTTGGATGTACCTGGTATTACATAGGTAAATTAATTCAAGTTTGTTCCAAATATTGAAGCAAACTTTCCTTCAGAGAAAAGTGCTTTCTCCTACATTGCAGTGTCTTAGTTTGCAGGACACCTTTTAAATGACAAAGTCATCTGAACAGAGATAAATATATTTCATTAAAATACAACTTTAAGGGGAACTGTGGAGATAGTTTTAAATGGCACATAATGATATCCTTGATGCCACATCATATGACTTTGACCAAGTTAAATGACGACTACTCCTTAAGGTAGTACTACCTACTTCGTTGAGTTTTTATAGGGATTAAGTGAATTGATATATTTAAAGTGCTCAGACTAGTACCCAGCACATAACAAAAACCTGAATACAGAGAAACTGACTTTCTTAAAATAGGTCAAAGATAAAACTGAAATTTTACAGTCTGCTTTCTCTCATTCTTATTGAATTAACTTCCTTCCTGCATATAAAATAGTTTCTAATTTGAACAACCTCTTTCATTTTCAAGATTCACCAATTCTCAGTCCAGCTAATTCTGCAATCAATTTAAGTGGAGCTCAGGACCTGACCCGGAATAAGAATGTTGTGAAGCCACTGGCTTTATCTTTGCAGGTTGTAGGGAAGACTTTTGCTGCAGGTGATGTTTTCCTCACTTATATTTCTTTGGTAAATATGTAGTCTGTATAAGATGTGTGAAATCTCATTGACAATTGGGTAGAACCTATCATCCTCGGAAACTTTATAACAGTTATTCATCATAATTTATCCTGACCACTTTTATTCTTATTCTGTTCCAACAGTTCTTGCAGGATCTACCTTCTGGTTAGATTATAGACTTGAACAAATGGAATCCAAGTTTTTACAGTATTAAAAAAGTTAATAAAATTATAGATCCTGGCAGTAACCAGCATGGTTGCTAAAACCATCAGATGAAGGGCTGATGGACAACTTTATTTTTTTTTAAGATTTTATTTATTTATTTGACAGAGAGAGAGAGGATGAGAGAGAGAGAGAGAGCACAAGCAGGGCAAGCTGCAGAGGGAGAAGGAGAAGCAGGCTCTCCGCTGAGTAGGGAGCCCAATGTGGGACTCCAGCCCAGGACCCTGGGATCATGATCTGAGCCGAAGTCAGACACTTAACCGACTGACCACCCAGGCACCCCAATGTTGGACAACTTTATAATTTGAGAATTAGGTTAACAACTCTTGAACCCACTGATCGATCTTAACATGACAAGAAGAGAGAAAGCCGGGGCACCTGGGTGGCTCAGTCATTAAGCGTCTGCCTTCAGCTCACGTCATGATCCCAGGGTCCTGGGATCGAGCCCTACATTGGGCTCCCTGCTCAGCGGGAAGCCTGCTTCTCCCTCTTCCACCCCCCTGCTTGTGTTCCCTCTCTCTCTGTCAAATGAATAAATAAAATCTTTAAAAAAAAAAAAAAAAGAAGAAAGAAAGCCAGTTATTGTGTGTCTGCTGATGGAAGAATATGACAGTATTTATGAGATACTCTTGCCCAAAAACCCAAATCTAAATCTGAGCAAGCCTCTATATCTAACAATTAGTATGTAGGAAATTGAGGGGATGTTAAATGACGCCATAGATAGCCAATCAGCAATTCAGAAAATGAAAAATTCTGCCAGATTTTCAGCAAATTAATTGGAAGAAAGGAAAAGAAAGGGAATCTTATAGATTAAACTAGGTTCCAGGAGGAAAAAAAGGGATGCAATTGATACTATACAGAGTCTGGAAAACTTCTCAGCAAAAATGACATCATCCTAAATCTCATTGCAGTATGACCTTATCCTGATTCAAACAAATTATTTTTAAAAATTTGTGAGACAGTCCATGAAATGCGAACACTAACTGAATATTTTTATTATATTAATAAATGTGAGCTTTTAAAAAGTGGGTTTAAGGGACATAAAAACTAAATTCAATGTGTAGATCCTTTTTGAACCCCAATTGGAGGAAGTCCACTGTAAAAAAAACATTTCTGAGATAACTGGGGGGAAATTTGAACACTAATGGGATATTTGACATTATTAATCACTGTCAATTTTAAGTATAATAACAATATTATAATTATGTTTTTAGGAGCTCTTTTAGAAACTCATACAGAAGTATTTATGAATGAAAGAATATAAATAAGTTCACTTCAAAATAATCTAGAGCAGTATGTGAGTATGTTGTGTGAGGAGGAAGAGAGACAAAGTATCTTAATCTGTATTTATCTAAAGCAAGATTGGCCATGTGTTGATAAATGTTGAGGCTGGGTGGTAGGTATGTAGTTTTTTATACTATTCTTTCTACTTTTGTATGTATTTGAAAATTTCTAAGATACAAAGTTAAAAAAAAAATGTTCTCTTTCTTCCACCCACCATCTCCAAAGACGTCATTGAAAATGATTCTAAAAGATCTCTTGGGATCCTAGAAAATTATTTTTAGGTGACATTTCATTTTAAAAAGGGTGCTATTCTGATGGTCGTAGTCTATTTTACACCACAGGCTGTCGTGTCAGTGAGATGTCTTTGAATCCTGGAGGGTGAGGTTGATGGTATGGTTGCAGCATCACGGAATACAGTGTGCTGCCCAGTCCCTTTTCTGAGTGTTTTTCTCGTGTGTTACAGATGCTGCTAATGGAAACAGTAGCCATGGTGGGAAGAGCAGTGCATCGAGCTCCACTCCAGCCCGCCCAGGGAATTACTCTTTGTCACCAAGACCTAGTTATGCATCAGGAGACCAAGGTACAATATCCATCTTAGAGTTTTGAAATAATGCACCTTAATTATGGAAGAAGTGCTATGGAGTTTGGAATGATGAATTACCTGACAGTGCACTCCTAGTTTTTCCTTAGCTTCTCATCCAAGGTTTTGAAGGTTTATGATTGGTGTGAACAATAATGGTTAAATATCTTAGCGATTTACAAGGATGAGCCTAGCTAGAGAATAATGTTGAAACAAATGTATAAGGAAGTGTCTTGAAAAACCATGAGCTTTGCTGACCAGAATACAGAGATCAAGGTTCCTCTCTATTGCGTGACCCTGGGCAAATCTGAGCCTTCCTTTCACCAGATACAAAATGGGTATAACAATATACTTATCCTACAACTTCACAGTGTTGTTGATAGAACTAAATGAAATAATCTGGGTAAAATTGTAAAAGGTAAAACAGCATACAGATGTTAGGTGGTGTTCTTAGGGTGACTTTTTCTAATTTTATATTTACCTCTAGAAGAGTGGCTCAAACTTTCTGAGTATAATCAAATTAAAGGCTCCATGTTACTTTGAATTCTCTCCTTTCTTCCACTGCTAAGGACAAGGCTCATCTTTCTTTTTGTTTTCAGCTACCATGTTCATTTCTGGGCCACCAAAGAAACGACACCGGGGATGGTATCCTGGGTCACCTGTCCCACAACCTGGTTTAATTGTACCTGTTCCTACAGTTCGCCCTCTTTCAAGAACTGGTAAGATTTCAACAGAAGATGGATTTTCAGTATTTTTGAATTAGCAGAGGTATCTTCTACTCCTATTCTTTTCCTGAACCTTTGAAGATAAATTTCCTTAACCAACCATTGTGTCCAGTATTATGTAAGGAAATTAATCACAGCTGCTATTTTGTCCCCATCACATCTGCCTTCCCTAAAAGTGCATATGCCATCATAACAGATCTTAATTCACCACCTGGCTTTGTTTGGAACCACAGTATCAATAAACCATTCTTTACGTAGGGCATGATGCTACTAACCCACCATCATAGGGCACAAATGGGCTTGCTTTGCCATTTGTGGTGTTAGACATGTTCTCCTGTTATCTGGTTCCTTTATGTGACATACACCTTTTATTTCTGGCCTGAATGGCTTAGTCTGTGGCTAGAAACCTGAAAAACCAACTGGTTCTCCTTCATAATAGCCAAGCCATGGCCATTGGGTGCCTACTGGTAAATGTTTAAACGCTGGTCTACCTTGCTGTACTAAGCACGGACAAATGTAAATAAACCGATTCTAAGGCATAAATGGATTCTTTAAAAATTTAAGTTTGTTTAAATAGCTTTAAAGACTACATAGAGATGCTGTATAAACAAAGAATTATGCCAATATGTTACTGTGTTTGCCTCTGGATAATACTGATTAATGATGAATTTATTCTTCTTCACTCTTTTCTATATTTTTCAAATTTTCTATGATGAGTAAATAAACCATGATAATTAGGATGGGGATGGAGGGAATTAAATACAAAGCAGAATCCAAAAGATTGCATGTGGAAAAACAACTAGAAGAAAAAACTAGTTATCTTCAGATGGTGTGATTATGATTGGGGTTTTTTCCTTCTGTTTTTCTCACTTTTAATTTTATATAATAAACATGAATTACTTTAATTAAAAAAAAATGAACCGTTAGGCTTCTAAAACTTCTCTATTAAAAGTATTAAGACTATGTTGATTTCAATGGTATTTCATTTAGCTTTCATGTCTAATCCTTCTTGTCAAACAACTTTTTTTCCAGAGTCCCTTTTATCTGCCCCAGTTCCACAGACCCCATTAACTGGAATTTTACAACCTCGACCCATTCCTGCAGGGGAGACTGTAATTGTTCCTGAAAACCTGCTGAGTAACTCAGGAGTTAGACCAGTAATTCTGATAGGTAAGGGAAAGGAATTCCAAGTTGCCTGTGTCTGCTGGGATCTGAGACTGTTTCTCCATTTCAGTGTTTGTGTATTTATCCATATGTTCATGAATATCTTCGTTCATCCATATATTAATTTTTTCAGCTTTTATCGGTCAGATCACTCATGCTGTTAAGCATGTGACTGGGAATAAGGGAAAGTCTTTTTGCCCACAGGGAGCACTGTTTTTAGTGGGGAGTCTGTCATGTAAATAAGTACAATATTGTGAAACTTGAGCTAGTAGAGGTTCACAACCAAGAACTCCAAAAACTCAAAGGAGAGAGAGCTTAACTCTGCCTGGAGGGAGTCTGAGAAGACTTGTCAGAGGTGATGTTTCAGCTGGGTCCTGAAGGGAAAAGGACGTTCTAGTCAAAGGGAGCAAAACCACAGAGAAAAGAAACAAGCTGAACCAGCTTACAGGCCCACTTTGGGAGAACTAAGAGGTCCCAGAGTTGCATGGGGAAGCGTTGGTGAATAGCTCATCTTTACAGAGTCTGAGTCCTTCCAAACTATAAGTGGGGGTATAGAAATTTAGAGGCCCCTAGAATCCAGGACTAACTTAGTGTTTTTCAGACCCACATCAAGAATGACCTTATCCGGGGACTATCCTAGGTCAGAAGGAGACTTCCTGCTTTACCTCTGGGACTAAATAGATGGGGTGTTTAAGCCCCACTGGATCTTTAGTGTATGTCTATATGAGGTGTTATCTGCTTCTTTGGGTTGACTTGAGCCTACTGACATGGATGGTTTTGCTTCAAGCCCTGTCCTTTATCAGGCTGTCCTACCCACTGCTCCTGGGCCTATAGGCACTAGGAGAATCCCAGTTGTTTAAATTCCATATGGTCAGGACCTTTTTATTAAACATTTGAGTGGTGTGCATAATGGAGCTAAGCCTTGGAAAAATATGTAGACCGTGGGGACCCTTTGGTGTCGGCCTTTTAGAAAGTCTCACAGAGAGACTGCCCCTGTTTTTTAACCACACCACCAAAACAGGGTATATTTTCAACATATTTTTGTCCTATCTACTTCTAAGATAATTTAAGGCTATTTACCAACATTTGAGAAGAGAACATAAAAATAACTAAGATAGCACGAAGGGTAGGAACCTGCAAATACCTGTGACTAAAAGAATATTCCTGGTCATCGATGAGTTTGTTAGCTCTTTAAAATGTTTAAGAAAACCTCAGGAAATGAAATATGTTATTGTGGTTTGTTATCTGGCTTCTTATGTGGAAAGAAACTTGATCAAGAATTTTATTGGAAAATATTTTATCATTGCACTTTTGCCAAAGGACACAGAGATGTTTTGCAAATTTTCATCAATCCTCTGTGGCAGATATATTAACATGTCCCTTCTGTGGGGAACAGAGATGATATCATCTAAGTCTTTTGCTTCCTGTTCATTTGATTTAATATAAGGGTAGAATTCGGAAGCATCTGAGGGAATGCCCTAGAATATTTGAGTGATTTTGTTTGGCAGCCATCTTAAAGGGCAGGAAACTTTGTTCAGCATCTTTGATCCTAGTTGGGCACGCGTACCTGGTTGGACCTGAAAAAGAAATGTTGAACTTTATTGACCTGCTTCTATTGGGGCAGGCTATGGCACTTTACCCTATTTCTATGGAAATGTTGGTGACATTGTTGTGAGTCCTCTGCTGGTGAATTGCTACAAGATTCCACAGTTGGAAAACAAAGATTTGGAACACTTAGGGTTGACTGGCAGCCAACTCCTGAGCGTGGAAAACATGATTCTTCTGACGATACAGTATCTTGTGCGGCTAGGTAAGCGATTTTCAATAATTATTTGGTGGTGATAATTTTTATTCTTTTTTGCATCATGCTTTTTTCCTTTCTTTCCTCACTTTCTCACATTCATCCACTTGTCCAGCTCTTACTTTTTACCCTTTTCATTTCTAATACTCCTTTCCTTCAGCCCTACCCTCTATGACTGTTCCCTTTCCTTTCCCATTTCTTTCCTACTCCTTTCTGCCATTTGCCTTCCCTCCACCTCATTTCTCTCTGACCTCCCTAGCTTCTCGCTCGCCTGAGTCCTAGAAGAGATAAATTGCGCCACCTAGTGTCCAGTCTCATGATGGTCCTAAGGTCTCCAGAGTGGTTCATACAGGCAGAACCACAAAGGGCTGGGCCATGGGCACCCTCCTCCTTTGGGGAGTCTGGTCAGCCACCCTTCTGAGAAAGTGCAGCTGTCATCTGGAATGCAAATGAGGCCATTGCCTTAGACAATTATTTTACAGTTTTCTACTTAGTCTTTTTATCTTGTTTAGCCACTGTCCCTACATCCATTTTTTTCTTCTCCAGCTACACCCCTTTGATGTAGTCCCATCATGTTTTCCTTCATTGAGGCAGTATCTGTGGACCTCCCTGAAAGGCTCTTTAGGCTGTAGGGTAAGGGGGATACATAGGTCATGAACCCTTCACTTCCTCTATTTGGTTAAGTCCTCCTGAGCTCCATAGTGGGTGTATGCAGGTGCCCTGACAATGCTGTCAGTGGCTCAGCAACATTTACATTGCAATGTCCTTTATTTTGCAAACTGCAGCAGGTCATCTAATATGCAACCTAATTATACACTCACTCTAGGACTTCAAGCCACTGATTTACTTAGGAAAATGCTCAAGATGTAAAATTATACATAAGAAATTTTATCTGCGCTCTTGTGAATGATTTTAATGTTTGAAAATAAATAAGGGTTAAATAATGAAAATACTGGGCTAAACAGTGTTAAAAACAAAACAAAAGCTTCAGCCGGCCAGATTCAGTCTTTGGACCATCAGCTAGCAAGTGCGGCTGTAAGGCTTGGTGCCCTGAGAATCTGAAAGCCTGCTTTGACATGGGCTTTTGAAACTTGCAAGGCTTCGGATATCTCACAAACCACTTTGATGATAAACCTAGGACTTACTAATCATGCTGATGAATGGGTAATAAAATTATAAAAACCACCTGTGTCTGCAGCTCATTTGGTGTCATAATTTTAATTGCTACATACACTGACTTCGACTATATTCCGAGATCTAAAACCAGCTTCTTGATGCATCCAGAATTCATAAAATGAGCCCACATAGAGTAATGCTGTTGGCAAACCAAGCCAATCAGTACAGCGTTTTTTTCAATCTTAATAACAATTTAAAATATCAAAGTCTAAGTTAATTAAATGAACTAAATGTCAAAACAAAATGTCTCTCTTCAAACAACTAAAAGCTCTTATCTTAAAAAAAAGAGAAATCTCCATTCAATTAGACCTCTCTGCCTGTGGGATCCATTCTTTCTAGAGTTTTACTGACAACCAATTAATATATCTCTCAATGTGCAACATGAATGGCTTTTTCTTTCTCTTTTTTTTTTACCTAAATTTTGTATATCAGGACAGCTCTTCTCCTCAGCAGCTTTCTTCTGGTGTCCTTAAGTTTTTGTTTGTTTGTTTGTTTGTTTGTTTTGCCTCCAAAGATTTTGAAGAAGGCAGCAAGAACATTTTTTACATATGCTATAGATTATAGATAGACTTTTTAAAAAAATCCAAGCTTTTAAAAGAACAGGTCTAATACTTTGATGGCTCAGTTACCTGGACATAATAGAGAAGAAAAGCAAGATTCTTCAGAAGGAAGAGGCCTTTAACTACAGTTACTTAAAAAAAAAAAATCCATCTGTTATTTCACAGCCTGAAAATCTTTTGAAGTAGAAAGTGAAATCAGCAAATCTAGTGATTATTGGAGGGCTCTGGGTCTGTTGGAACTTTGTCTCTTCTTATTAAGGTAGCCCTATCTGAAAAGCCATAAGAACTGATGTGTAAGCTAAGCTGAGTTACTGGAGATCAGCAGTTGATGGGGGAAAAATTACTATTATCAAGCTTGTGGGAAGCGGAGAAAAAGCTCCTGCAATTTAGCCATAAAGGCTGAGGATGAAATGATGGGAGGTGATTGGAAGCAAGGCATTTTGCTCTCTTGCCTCATTTAAACTTTGATACATTTTCCTCTATTTCTCAATTCCTAACAGTAATCCAGTCAAAACTCTGTAAAGTTAGTTTTGAGGCAATGGAAAAATGCTGTGAACATGTTTTATAATTTTATATTCCGAGAATGCCTTTAAATTTGAAATTGATTACGCTGAGAACATGTTACTCAATCATGGTTTGGAGCGGTCTTATGGACATACCTATTCACCAGGGTTCTGAGCCTTCAGGTCTACGAGAGGCTGTAGGGCATGGCAGCAAAGCCACTTGCTTTTGAGCTGTCATTTGTTCTGATGAAAGGAAGCTTTAAATGATAGCCACCTTCCCTTCATCTCATTTGTACTGTGCATTTGTACAGTCAATGCAAATGTATACACTTGGAGCTCACTACCTAGCATGTACCTAGTGACCACTAACCATGATGCTAATTTGATAAAGCAAAATGAAGACAGAAGCCTTGGCGGCTCCCAGGTTGATAAGGCATCCACCTCCCTCTAGCAAGTGACTGGGTAGGATGTAAGAAATAGGAACACAACGTAAGCATTGCAGGGTTCTTGCTCTCTTTCCAAGGACAGTAGAAAAAACTCTGAGGGGATTTCAGTCTCCCTCCCTCTAGCCTTGAACCAATCATTGAAAAACATATTTTCTCCAGTTTAAATTATTTTTAAAATATATAATATTTTATTTACTTTTTCATATCCTGAAAATATGACTAAACATTCATTTTCTTACTCTCCCAGAGAATATGGGTGGGGGCCTGGGAGGCCACTTAAATCCCTATTGAGGAAGGAAAGGTTTCTGACTCATTCAAGGTGCCTTCTCATACAGAAGTCTAGTCCCTTAAACCTGTATTCTTTCCCAAGGGGATTTTTAGCCCTGGGTTCTGAAGTTATTGCTTGATCTCAGGTCACAGACACTGAGGGGTCTGTATCTGTCTAGCAGAGCCTGACTTTCAAATCTCAGGTCTGCACAGCAAAAGAAATGACTGAAGAGTGAAGTGAGCATAGTCTCACTGGTTTCAATTTAAACTAAATGTAGTAGGAGTTCATTTGAGTCACTTGGATGTCAATCGTTGACTTGCTTGCTTTGTCCTAAAGACTGGTTGAGTTTCTAAAGAGAATCAGAGAAACAAAATCCCCCTAATTCCAGGGACTGTAGGTCACCCATATAAATTTAGCCATAACCACAGCTGGAGGAGAGGACCAAATGCCATCCTTAACAACCCAGAATGCTGGGGAATAGCTAGATGACAGTGACATTCTCTATCGAGGGAAAGTGTGAGGCTCCCTAAATATAAATTAGAAGTGAAAATAGTTAAACTTAATTTTCTTACAGACAGTATTCCTAAAATTAGGTACAGAGGCAATACATTAAAATGTTTTTCAAGGTAGCGATAGATAAAATGAGAAATGAGTGAAACCTAAAGTTGGTTATATGCCAGTAGGTTAACTTCTTCCTTCATGAGTCATTAATCGTGTCGGTAACAAGTTTAGCAATTCAACAAATACACCACCTTCAGTGACCATCCCCTAAGGCATATAGTGGAATTGATACTGACTTGGAGTACATCCTCTTTTAAAAATATCAAGATTAGGGCACCAGGGTGGCTCAGTTGGTTAAGTGTCTGCCTTCAGCTCAGGTCATGATCCCAGGGTCCTGGGATCGAGTCCCGCATCGGGCTCCCCGCTCAGCGGGGAGTCTGCTTCTCTCTCTGCCTCTACCCCTGTCCCCTGCTTGTGCTAGCTCTCTCTCTCTCTCAAATAAATAAATAAAATATTTAAAAAATATATCAAGATTAGCATAAAGGAAAAGAGAAGCCTGCATTTGTTTTTAATATTGACACAGAGAGAAGGTAATTTCACAATGGAAAATGGTTAGCAGGAGCTCCATGCTTGTGACCACAACAGGAAACAACTCTTTTGCTAGTGGAATACGGTGGGCTTAGAAGGACTACACACTAGCGTGTGTGTGTGTGTGTGTGTGTTTCTCTTTTCTGGCTGTGATTTTTTTTTTTTAATTCTAGCTGTAATTCTCTTCCATTTAGGTCCTGATCAGATACCTCTCAGGGAAGAATTTGAGCAAATCATGCTGAAAGCTATGCAGGAATTTACTCTGAGAGAGAGAGCCCTGCAGATGGGGGCTCAGTGTACGCCTGTGTCACCAGGACAACTCCCCTGGCTTGCGAGACTAATCGCCAGTGTATCTCAAGACTTGGTTCATGTGATTGTGACCCAAAACTCTTTGGCGGAGGGCATTTCAGAGACATTGAGGACTCTCAGTGAAATGAGGCACTATCAAAGACTACCAGATTATGTTGTGGCGATTTGTGCATCAAAAATCAGAGGAAATGAATTTTGTGTGGTAGTGTTAGGTGAGTAATGTTTTAGGTTTTTTTTTTTAATCTATTCATTTAATTATCTGTCCATTTGAAAAATATTTATTGGGTGTTTCAAGCATCCATGTGATTAATCCTCTAGTTAATTGCTCCCATTTGAGTTCTTCCTCCTAATTTTAACTTTTGTTTTTGTCCTCATATCAGATTTTTGTAGTCCTTAGTTTGGCTGGTGTCCCTGTCAGCTGGTTGTGGGAGAATTATTTCAAAGCATGTCCTAGTAACAGATACCCTTGTCTCACGTAACTTCTGTCCTTAAAAGGTTCTGGAAAGGTTACCACTCTAGCATGTGATAAAGCCATTGCCACAGGTGGCCTAAGCCAGTGAATCAAATTTGCCAGGAAACTTTCCTCATGTATTCGCCCCCTCACTGAAGAGGATACTTAATGTTGTAACATTGACTCTAAAGAAAAGGTTCAGAAAGTTGGAACATTACAAAATGTGTTTTTGTTTTTTGTGCTGATTTTCTATCAGGCACCATCTGGACTAAATTTGCTTTTTTCCTCTCTAGTGATGGTTCTCACCTATTCCTACCAAAGAAGCCAAGCCCCCTCACTTTGGCAAAACCTGCCTGCCCGTGTCATAAATCTTTTTCAGAAATCTTCATCAGAAAATATAATACATTAATTTTTTAAATTTTTATTTATAAAAACAACTAAACACCATACGTTTGTATTTTTAAGACATATTCATAATAACCATGCAAACACAATTTTAAAGGTCTTTCACATTCCTCCCTAGTCTTTAAACACATGTATAGAATGTTTCACAGTTACAAACGTAAGGTATATCATTTTTGCCCTTGATCATCTAACATTTTATTAAAACATTTTCTTTTTAAAATAGTCAATTTAAATGCTGAATAATTGTCCATCTTTTGATGTGACATAATTTCCTTAACCAAATCCCTGTAGTTACATGCTTTGATTGTTTCCAGTTTTTGCTGTTATAAATCATATTTCAGTGAACATTTATTCACCGGATGCATCACCTCCTCTCCCTCCCTTCCGCAGGTCAGCATCAGTCCAGAGCTCTAGCAGAGAGCATGCTCACCACAAGTGAGTTTTTGAAAGAAATTAGTTATGAGCTCATCACAGGAAAGGTCAGTTTCCTGGCATCGCATTTCAAAACCACATCATTAGGTGAGTGGTTGTAGGATTCAGCAATACCACCAGCCTCTAGTTGTGTGATTTTCTGAATTTAAATCTTAGCCCGTCAAGGAGATGAGTGTGGAGCCTTAAACTCGCCTCCTGACCTTCCCTCACTTGGAATGGTTTATCCTCAGTATTTTGTTACTGAGACAGCAAGGCGTCCAGAGGAGGGCACACAGGCACTAGTATGGAGGGCTTCCGCTCAGCCACGACTTAGTGGTGTGACCTTGAGAGAGATGCTGCCTCCTCGGATCTCAGTTTTCTAGTATGTCAAATGGAGATAGAATGATCCCATCCTGCCTGCTCTGAGCATTATGGAGGTCAAGAGAGATACACGTGTGAAAGCATGTAAATCGTAAGCACGATACAAACGAGGGTGGCTCTGGCTTTAGAGATATTGCCGCGGACGTGACGCGGACGTGGCCAAGTATACACTCAGCCGTGAAAAGCTGGCAGACTGACAAATCTTGATGAGAACCCAGCTTAAGGGCCCAGTTTAGAGACTGATACAAATGTATTGTTCCTTGCAATCTTCTTATCCCCACTTTATTATGTAATAGGTGATGACCTGGACAAGCTGCTAGACAAAATGCAACAGAGAAGAGGAGAGAGTGTGGTTACCCCTTTCAATGGCGATCTTAATGAGTGTGTGTCAGCTCAGGAGGCTGCCGCTATGATCCCCACGCAAAACCTGGGTAACGTCACCTCAGACCAAAAGGAGGAAATAGAAGCTAAGTCATTCTGAGGGTTTTGAGGTCTTGTGTTTAGAGTCACAGACTGTGACAGGCTTTTCCTCATTATCTACATGATAAATATGGCTCAAATTAAAAATGCCTTATGATGGGGTCTGGATCCAGCACCTTGTTCTTAGTAGATGTCTCCTAGAATTAAAATCAAAGTTGAAGACTTTATGGTAAGCAGACTCTCTCTCTCTTTTTTTTTCCTCAAAATTTCTGGGGTCCTTGGTGTACTTTCCTTAGCTCCACCAGCTATGCCCAGAGAGCTGTTGGTGCTCTCTGAGGGCTACAAAGAACTGCTTGAAAGAATGTAGAATGCAGTCCATGCAGGGCTCCTGGCTCTCCACACCCTTCATTGACTCTCTGACATGTAAAACACACATCATCTCAGGGGTAGCAGGGCATCCCTGGCAGATAGCACAGCAATACCAGGACATCGTCTGCCCTACAAGCTTCCAGGATGCAAAAAGGGAGAGTGGGAGGGGAGCCTGCGTGGCTCAGTCAGTTAAGCATTCAACTCTTGATTTCGGCTCAGGTCATGATCTCAGGGTCCTGGGATCGAGCCCTGCATCTGGCTCCCTGCTCAGTGGGGAGGCTGCTGGAGATTCTCTCCCTCTTCCTCTGCTCCTCCCCACGCCCCAGCCCTGGCACACTCTCACTAAAATAAATAAATAAATATTTTTTTTAAAGGGGAGGATGGGGGCACCTGGATGACTCAGTCAGTTAAGCCTCTGCCTTCAGCTCAGGTCCTGATCCCAGCGTCCTGGGATCGAGCCCCGCGTCAGGCTCCCCACTCAGCAGGCAGGCTGCTTCTTCCTCTCCCTCTGCCTCTCTCTCACTCTCTCTAAAATATATAAATAAAAATCTGAAAATAAATAAATGAAAAGGGGTGATGGTGGGAGCAGGACTGGGGAGTTCCATCATTAGATTGGATTCCTTTATGTTCAGATTTCTTCCCCGATTCCCCCATTTGATAAGGACAACATAGGAGAGGACCGAAAAAAGAGAATAAGACAAAGGGTAGACATCCATAAAGCTGCTGCTGACAGCCTTCTAGCCTTCCCTTAATAGGAGTGTGTCTTTTATATATTAGGATTGCCTCAGCAATAAAAGTAGCATGGCTTGGCATTAGCTCAGTCATAAATTCAAATGCATGCAATATTTTTTTTAAGTAGGCTCCATGCCCAGTGTGAGCCCAACATAGGGGTTGAACTCACCACCCTGAGTTCAAGAACTGAGCTGAGATCAAGAGTCAGATGCTTAACCAACTGAGCCGCCCAGGTGCCCCCACAATAAAATTTTTTTACTTCTACACTTTATTTGATGATAAAGCAATCACCTGGATGATCTAAAATGTGTTCATATTATTTTTGAATTATTAACAAAGTTAGAATTTAAAAATTCTCAGGGTACTTACAGATTTCCACGTTCATATCCTTGATTCCCTGTCTAGGAAATGTTACTTAAAGATATATTAACAGTTCTGGGCGCCTGGGTGGCTCAGTTGGTTAAGCGACTGCCTTCGGCTCAGGTCATGATCCTGGAGTCCCGGGATCGAGTCCTGCATCAGGCTCCCTGCTCAGCAGGGAGTCTGCTTCTCCCTCGGACCCTCTTCCCTCTTGTGTTCTCTGTCTCTCATTCTGTCTCTCTCAAATAAATAAAATCTTTAGGGAAAAAAAAGATATATTAAAAGTTCCTCGAAGTTCAAAATTTGCTAGGTTAAGTTCTTCAAAGTTATGCTATCATCCAGGTTAGTCCCCCCCATCTAACCTATGACATGGAAGAAATAATAGCCTATCAAAAGACAGATTTATTTTCATTGGTAATCTTTGTGGGTCAAAAACCATTCTACTATAGAAGTTGCAGCTTTAGGCTTTTCTAGTGGGTTCTCTCAGCCACTTGTGTAACTCTCCACTAACTGTCAGGGTTCCCTGTGGCTAGGGTACTCTGACCACCGTCTTTACTTTGGCCACATTGCAATTTGATTTTTTTAAAGATTTATTTATTTATTTGACACAGAGAGAGAGAGAGAGAACAAACAGGGGGAGCGGCAGGCAGAGGGAGAGGGAGAAGCAGACTTCCCGCTGAGTAGGGAGCCCGATGCGGGGCTCAATCCCAGGACCCTGCTATCATGACCCGAGCCGAAGGCAGGCACTGGATGAGCCACTCAGGTGCCCTGTGCAGTTTGATTTTAGAAACATTAATTAGTGCAGGTTAATTGGGGCCTTGTGTGTTCCAGTCAAACTTTCACCTGTGTTCCTGATAAAAAGCAGCCTCGTAAAGGAGTATTAAATGTTGCCTGCTCAAGGATTCATCTAAGCCTGTCTAGTTAATTGTGTGTGTGTGTGTGTGTGTGTGTGTGTGCATGCACACGCACGTATAAGATTGATTGCTTGGTTATAACTTGTAATAAAAAGCCACTGGCATGTTTAGAGGGTCTGGGCAATGTTCTTCTAATGCATCACCTCTCGAGTAACCAGCTGGCCCTGTTATGAGCCAGGTCTCTTCAGATAATATAGGAGTCAGCCCTGGAGTTGGCCACAACCACCTACCACTGCCAGGCCATGAGCACTGGCAAGTCAAGTGGGAAGAAAGGTGAAGGGGTATCTCTGTGACCTGTGTTATACAGTCCCTGGGGAGAAGAATTTCAAATCAAATGTTGAAACTGACATTTTGGAAAGGAAATGTTTACTGTGGTGCTGTCCAGAAAAGTTCAAAGGAATTCAGCATTAGTATGGTTACAGCATCAACTCCTTCCCTGAATTCGGTCTGGGCTTGGGCACCTGACCTGTGCTGATAGTCCTAAAGAAAACTGGAAACTCTTGTTTCCCCTTTCCAGAGATGGGGAAGTCCCAGCTCCCACTGTGAGAGTGTAGTCTGTCCCGACATTTCTGGGTGGGGGAGGGGTGTTGGGTAGTGACCTATGAGACGATCCATTGATTTTAAAAGAATACATTTGTGGGGTGCCTGGGTGGCTCAGTCCTTAGGTGTCTGCCTTCGGTTCGGGTCATGATCTCAGGGTCCTGGGATCGAGCCCCCATCGGGCTCCCTGCTCCGCGGGAAGCCTGCTTCTCCCTCTCCCACTCCCCCTGCTTGTGCTCCCTCTCTCACTGTGTCTCTCTCTGTTAAATTAATAAATAAAATCTTTAAAAAAAAAAAGAATACGTTTGTAAAATTACCACATCCACTCTTGATCACATCCTTTCAGCCAAGTTTTCAGAGAAAATAAGCAAATCTATTAACATCCAACAGAGAGTGAGAATAGAATGGTTGGTATAGAGCATTACTGTGTATGTATGTTATGTGTCCCCCATATGGATTCATAGTGGCCATCAACAGAAGTGAATTAACCTTGTTCTTATGACTTTTTTTATTTTAGATTTAGATAATGAAACCTTCCAAATTTACCAACCACAGCTAACGGTTGCCAGAAAACTCTTATCCCAGGTGTGTGCTATAGCAGACAGCGGCAGCCAGAGCCTAGACCTCGGCCACTTCAGCAAAGTGGACTTTATCATCATTGTCCCAAGATCGGAGGTTCTGGTCCAGCAAACTCTTCAACGGATTCGACAATCAGGTGAGACTGAACTTTCAAAGAAGACCCTACAGCGATCCAGCTTTAGATTCCCTCTGCCTCTTGCTTTTGCTTAATCCAAATGTTTATAGGACAATTCCACCCTTTTTTACAGTAATACAAAATCAGGAGAGCACTTTAAACATTATTTCAAATTTATCTGTAAGTTTTCCCTCAAAGTACTCTGACCTTTTTCCCTCCTAGGTCAAGGGTAAATCGATGTGCACGTTTGCCTGATACTGTTAAGTCTGTGATGTAATTGGTAGACTAGAAACTGGTCGTTCATTTATGAAGAGAAATTTTCTCAAGTCAGGGATAGCCCTGCATGGGGTAATGGGGTCTGTGCCACCTGAGCTCCTTCTATGGCTTGGATAGGTCACATTCCCATATGTGGCTTCTTAGATATTTAGCACACTACCAGCACATTTTCAAATTAGAAACCAGATCACCATCCCCCATGTGAACAATGATAACACCTCCTTAGAAAAATACAAAGCTGTGGGCACCTGGGTGGCTCAGTTGGTTGAGCATCCAACTTTTGATTTCAGCTCAGATCTTGATCTCAGGGTGTGAGTTCAAACCCTGCTTTGGGCTCCACACTGGGCATGGAGCCTATTAGAATTTCTCCTAATGACTTTCTAGAATGAGTATGGAAGAAAAAACATTTTTCCCGGAAAATGGAAAAAGGTAGGGAGCAAAAATTTTAGAAGTCTGTGGTAAATAATATCCTTTCCAAACATAAAATTTGCCTAGAATTAGAAGATGCAATAAATAATTCAGAAAACTGGGACAGCTGAAAACGTTTGCCTTTGTAAGCTAGGTTTGAAAAGGAAATTACAAATGTCAAGTTGCTTCTGAGTACCTTAGCTGAGAGAAACACACACACACACACACACACACACACACACACACAGGTTTTAACTGGAGGATAAATCTTTTTGGCACAGTAAAAATTTTTATTTTCGGGGTGCCTGGGTGGCTCAGTCGTTGGGCATCTGCCTTCAGCTCAGGTCATGATCCCAGGGTCCTAGGATCGAGCCCCACGTTGGGCTTCCTGCTCGATGGGAAGCCTGCTTCTCCCTCTCCCACTCCCCCTGCTTGTGTTCCCTCTCTCCCTGTCTCTCTCTCTCTGTGTCAAATGAGTAAATAAAATCTTTTTTTTAAAAAAATGTATTTTTCAATATATTTGAAAACAAGAAGAAAAATTCAAGAGCTTAAAAAGTAGTTTATATGTAAAAAAATGTAGTTTATATGTTTCATACCTATGATACAGTGCTCCTTAAACTTTAGTACACATATAAATCACATGGGGATCTTGTTAAAATGCAGCTTCCTCTTAGTGGGCCTGGGCGAGCTCATTTTTTATTAATTGAGGTATAATTGACGTATAACTTTGTATTAGTTTCAGGTATATAGCATAATGATTTGATAATTGTATATATTGTGAAATGATCACCACAATTAGTCTGGCTAACATCTGTTACCATACATAGTCGCAGAATTTTTTTTCTTTTTCATTTCTTGTGATGAGGACTTTTAAGATTTACTCTCTGAGCACCTTTCCAGTATGCGATGCAGTAAATTGTTAACTATAGTCACCGTACTGTACCTTACATTGCCAGGACTTATTTATTTTACAGCTAGAAGTTTGTACCTTTTGACCACCTTCACCCATTCCCCACTACCCCATCCAGCAACCATCAATCTCCTCTCTGTATCTGTGAGCTTCTTTTCTGTTGTTTTTTAGATACCACATGTAAGTGAGATCATATGGTATTTGTCTTTCTCTGTCTGACTTATTTCAGATTCTACATTTCTAACAACCTCCCAGGGGATACCAATGCTATTGGTGGGAGGACCACACTTTGAGTAGCATACTCTAAAAGAAATCTTCCATTGTTAGTTCCATGAGCCAAATGAGCTGAGAGACAATAGATTTTTCCCTCTTTGCATGTGACTGATACATGTAGTCTTTCCATACCTTCTCGAGGCCCAAGTGCCTGGGAAACAGTGCAATATTTTTGTAGCCTCTAAAATTCTGAATGACAAGTTACAAAATGACCTATTATAAATATTGACTTATAGATGATTAGCCGGAGAAAGTCAGATGCCTTCTCTTTAGAGCTCACCAGAGTGAGTTCTAGGCTTTCTCAGCTACTGGCCGTTTCTTCATTTCTCTCTGCTCCCATTGTGGGAAATGGATAGGCTATACTTGTAACAAACACTCACCAGATTTTTTTTTTTTATGGATTTTTTACTTCCTTACCATGGAGGGAGTGCCTTCTCTTATAGGTGTTTTATTTCTACCAATTGGCCTTTGTGACCTTCCTGAGTTTGTGATCTGATATCTGAAATCATGCTTGAGCAAACACATCATAGCACCTGTTTCAAGCGGTGAAATCATCCATGGTCAGCAGTTGTGCTCTCTCCAGAGCCTTTTCCTGAAATAACCTCTTGGTGACCTGTACTTTCACCTTTCTTAATAAATGCAAGACCCTAAATAAAACCCTGCATTTTTGACAGATGAAGAAATTGTACGGGTCCTTCTTTTGTCCTTCTCACTGCCTTTTTTTCTAAAGTGAGAGCTGTAAGATCATAACTCCTCAGAAAGATACCAGAATTTGACCAATGACATAAGCTTGGAATCCAGAAAAAAATCAATGTTAAAGACAAATTTGGAAAATTCAAGGCAAAGCATATCTTAAAAATTATTCACATCTGGCTTTGACATACATACTGAATTTTATGCTGCAAAAGCAATCACTTCTATATATTTAAAAATAACTTTGTTCATTTTATTATAAAAAAATTAGTTGCATTCTTTATTTTAAAAAATAGAAGAACCAAAGTAGGAAAATTTAAACATTTATAATACCACTATTCAAGGATAACCACTGTTAAAATCCAGGTGTTAACAAATGACTTAATACCTAGCAGGCTTCTTCTCTGCCTGTGTCTGTTTTTTCACCTGACATTATAGTTTGCACATTTTTCTATATCACTAAAAGTTTTTGTAAGCATCATTTCTAATAAATATGTAGTATTCCACATCATAATGGCACCAAAATTTATTTGCTTTAATATTTAAACAGCTTCATATTCTTGGAACACATAACAATTGATAGTAGAAGAGCAAGCACATTTAAGGTGTAAAGAGAAATTGTCCACAGCAGAGTAGTAAGCAGGCATTATCCACGAACGGAACTCAACATCAGAGCTATGCAAGCAGGAAGGATTCTCAAGAAATCATCTGATTCAGTTTCCTTCTATTTCACTATGTTACTCTATAGGAGAGCTTCATTTGAATGAAGAGCTGGAGGGAGGAAGAGGGGAGTATAGAGGGGAAACCAGTGTCCAAGTGCTCTGCTTTCTGGTTCTATTTGCCTTTCCCTAAAGGAAGCGTTTCATCAGCTAGTTGGCCAGGAAAAGCACCTGGCAGGGAGAAGTAGCCAGGGCATGCAGAAAGGCCACATCCTTGGCAGCCCTTGTGTAGCTGAAAGAAAAGGTGAAAACAGAAACCATCACATTGTGCAGACTCAGCTCTAAGGCAAAGAATGTGATACCTCAGCTCACATTCTAATTAAGGAAGGGAGGCAGAGAGGAAAAAAAGAAAAGAAAAAGAAAACATTATGGAAGGAATTTGTTTTTTGTTTTTTAAAGATTTTATTTATTTATTTGACAGAGAAAGACACAGCAAGAGAGGGAACACAAGCAGGGGGAGTGGGAGAGGGAGAAGCAAGTTTCCCGCGGGGAGCCCGATGTGGGGCTCGATCCCAGGACCCTGGGATCATGACCTGAGCCGAAGGCAGACGCTTAACGACTGAGCCACCCAGGCGCCCCTATGGAAGGAATTTGAAGGTTTAAAAATGAAATGAAAGGGATTGAACATTTTTAAGTTTGTCCAAAATGGATTTGTAACGGCTGGAATGATCAATGGAGAAGCAGCATAAGGAATTTTTAGACTATAGGAAATACTTCTGTCTTAATGTCATTTTTAACAGCTTTTATGTGGTAGCGTAATTCTTTTAATTCTAAGGAGACCCCAAATTCTATAAATTGGAACACAAGGGTAGCAGTGTGATCAAAATGCAAGCCACTTTCAATTCAAGGTGGTTGGGGTAACAAAAGGAAGTATTAGTGATTGTCCATATTTTCCACCTTTGAAAATGGTGTCCGTGGGGGTCCCCAGTGAATGGGAGCAGATTGGACAGTTTCTGGTCTTCCTTGTTTTTTCATGCTCAGGGAAGTGACACAAATTTGATGCCTCAGCACATGCCTGATTATATAAGAAACAGAAATATTTCTGTCTGCTGATATGTGGGTAGCTTTTTCTATCCATACAGAAGTAAAGAGGTTTTAAGGAAGTGGGAGAGATTAGGAGGGGAAGTGAAGAGATAGTGGAAGCCATTTTCACTTTCTAAAATAGATTTTCTTGGTCTCATCAACTTCATACCACCTTGTTAGTCACCTAAAATTTATTAGAAAAAAACTATTTATTGGGCAATGACAGGCAGCAGGGAACAGGATCCCAGAGAAGAAAGTACTAGGAAGCTACTCTGTCCTGAGGTGGAACAGGGGAACACTAGAGATTCATTTGTACAAAGACAACAAGTACCTAAAGGTAACATTCTTTTTTTTTTTTTTAATATTTATTTATTTGAGAGAGAGAATGTGAGAGAGAGAGAGCACATGAGAGGGGGGAGGGTCAGAGGGAGAAGCAGACTCCCTGCCAAGCAGGGAGCCCGATGCGGGACTCGATCCTAGGACTCCGGGATCATGACCTGAGCTGAGGGCAGTCGCTCAACCGACTGAGCCACCCAGGCGCCCTAAAGGTAACATTCTTAAAATCAGTTTCCAACCACGTAGTTAGCTGCCCAGTGCCCAACCTGGTTTGTAGATGTTGGTATTTGGCTCCCAGCCTCTGCCTCCCAACCTGCCATTATCTAGAGGTGCTGCCTATCCATCCAATATCCTAGCTTCTCAGGACCTTAAGCTCCTCACTC